CCTGGGATAAATCGAGCTTACTAAAATACTGGTTGCCATTTAACCCCACTAATACATCCTCCAGTGCCGTCCAGCTCAATTACTTGCTCTGAAACTGGAGAATTCCCAGTACTATAACTACCAAAGCGATTCCCTACGGAACACTACCCAGGACACCCAGACCAGAACCGTTTTGGGAAAGTTCATTTCATTCCTCATCCAGCACCTAACCTACATTGCAAACCGTTGATTGAGACATAGTTCTTAAGGCCACCAGATTTAAGAAGTATACTTTTTTATAATCTCCTTTTTCATTTTTTGTAAAGAAATGTAACCTTATCTTGTAGAAGATGGAGTTTATGTTACATTGCTTATTAGGTATTATCGTTATTCTCGTTAGTTGTAACATAACTCATTGTAAACATGTTTTTATTGAAACAATCTTTAATAAAATGATATTTTATATCTATGTACTTGGTTCTTTTGCTGTTTTCGTTGCACTCAATCATTTTTAAAGTGCTTTGGTTATCGACTCGTAGGTATGAGCTAATCTCACTGTGCCCAAGATTAGAGAGTATACCTTTTAAGTAGACGAATTCCGAAGTGGCCATGGCTGCTGCCACGTACTCCACCTCTGCAGTCGATAGAGCGACCGTCTGCTGTTTCTTCGTAAACCAAGATACTAAATTACTATTGTAAAAAATGGCACAACCTCTGGGCATGGGCCCAGAGGAGACAAACTCGACCATTTTACCATGACCATGTTACCATTAACAACCCACGTTTTGCTTCCAAATACTCGTAGTCTTGATAGGTTTGTTCTACCTCTCATTATAGCTTCTGGAGTTTCTAAGTTGATAGCTGTAGACGGGCATCTATTTAACTGATAAGTCGCGGACGCCATAGCTTCTCCCCATAAATGCTTGGGTAAACTAGTCTCTAGTTATAGTGTTCTTGCTCTGTCATAGCGTGTCCTATTCATCCGCTCGGACACGCCATTTTGCTGTGGAGAGTGGGGCTGCGTGTACTGTGTCCTTATTCCTCGATCTCTGCAAAAATTTTCAAATTTCTAATTTTTAAATTCATCTCTATTGTCACAGCGGATTCTGTTTACTCTAATTCCGTTCTCCGTCTCGAGTCTTCGGATATAATGTATTAAATTGGATGTTGCTTCGCTTTTATGTCTCAAAAGATATGTACTACAGAAATGAGAAAAGTCGTCTATCACTACTTGATAGTAAAGTTCACCATTAATTTCAAGTGTACGTATCGGACCTGCAATGTCGGTATGTATTAACTCACCTATGTACGTTGATCGTGGCCTCTTGGTTGGCACGAATGGTAGTCGAGTCGCCTTCCCCATCATGCACGGGTTGCAGGGTTTGTCACTAGTTGGTAGTCGCATCCAATGTAAACTTCGTCGATTAAGATGCCTTAGTCTTCTGTGCCACAAATCACCTGTGCTATCGGTTTTGTTACAAATCGCTAAACATGCCTCAGCATTTAAGATAAATAAATTCCCTGTTAAGGAACCAAACACATAGGAATTCCAATTTTTCCTACTTATTGTTACAATTCGTTTACTAAAAATTACTTGAAAATCGTCTTGTACCACCTTCTTGACTGACATTAGATTGAATGACAAATTTTTGACAATTAGTGATTCCAAACTTATTTTTGCGTTGTTACACATCATTGCGAAGCAGCCTTTTTTTCAGCAAGAAGAAAGTCCCCATTGGCGATGTATATCTTGATAGGATTTTCTAAAATTGTTACGTTGGTCATATTTTCAAAGTTTTCATTGATCAAATGTTCGGTGCATCCTGAATCAATGACCCACTCGATGGTTTCGTTATTCGTTTTTGGATGTTTGTTAAAGTTTCCTATGGTCAAGAAGGTGTAATTGTCACGTCCTGCTTCATCTATTGCTATATGACCGTATTGTTTCGAGTGACGTGTATATACTCGGTATCGACCTCTTGCTCTCCCGCGTCCGCGCCAGTTGTATCTGCGACAGTTCTTTGATGTATGTCCCGGTTTGTTACACTTGAAACATGTTACGAATGCCGTTTTCTGGTTGTCATTTGTCGGCGGAACATTCTTTTCTAGAATCTTAAGCTCCTCGTCAAGTAGTCTTGCTCTTACAAAATTCAACTTTAATGAAGTTCCCTGAAAATCCGTGTTGCACTCTATGGCAGTTATTACTGTATCATATTTGTCTTGTATTCCACTTAGTAGGTACGCTATCTTATCACGTTCTGTTAAGCAGTCCCCGGAGCAGTCCAGCTCTCTCGTGATTGTCAAATTTTTCAAAATAGTCTTCGAACTTTTCTTGATGCGATTGTTTTAAATTTATTAGTTTTCTTCTTAGTTGTGTGACGGTTATGATACTTTTTCTTTGGAATATTTCTTTTAATGTGTTTACCAATTCTTTGGGCGTTCTGCAGTTCTTCACAGTATTTAGGTATTTATCAGATAAGCATTGCACAATAATGTTTTTGACGTTTGCGTTTGATTTTGTGTTTTCTTTTTCAATCATTTTACTTACGTTTTAATTTTTTAGAATGTTCGATAACCCTTTCCCCTCCATGATACATTCCACACGGAATAACCAGTTATTGAAATTTTCTGCTTTCAATTGTGGAAAATTTGACGACGCCATTTTTATCTTGTTTTACTGTTTTTGTTTTTATATTATTTATTTCTTCGTTTCTTTTCTTCAGTTCTATATTTTCATTTTGCACTTTCTCCTTTATTTTATTATATCGTATTCTTTTCCTTTTTACCTATAACCTATTAGGTATTATACGACATATATTTAATACAAGGATAAGTAATAAATTCTTCAGACGTCATGTTTGAGCGGTATTATAATAACGCACACACTCAACATAGCCCTGCACTAGGGAAACCCTGTGTCGCGGGTGCCATGGACACAGACATAGACAACCACAAATTACACCCAAACTCACGAGAGAAATAAATGTAGGTCATACAAATATTTCTCCCGGCCCGGGAATCGAACCTGGGACCTCTGCGTGGCAGTCCGGCATGGTAACCGTTGTGCCACAAAGGCAGTATAAATTATTCTTTTTTTTGTTCTTTTTATAAATACATAATAAAACCTCAACATTGCTCGTTTTAATGCATCGTCGCGTCTCTTGGCTGCTGCAATTTGAGTCAATCCAAATCAACTATGCTACGTGTAACGTACCATATCGAATGGAAATTTGAAATGTCGTAAGGATTATTTTGTCGTAATGGAAAATGTCCCTTACTACAAAATGTCGCTTAACACATTTCAAAATTCGATACATCGACGAAATTATTACCCTTATAACGACGTTGGAAATTTGAAATGTCCTAAGAGAAAATGACCTTACGACAAAATGTCCCTCACGACATTTCAAATATCTACCGTCGATGTGTAGGTACTTACGCTGATGTTAAAGTAATGTAAGTACGTGTGGCGCACTACAAGTTTCTGGAATGAATAAGAAAAAAATGCTATAAATGGTCAGAAGTGAATTTATTGTTTCTCAAAATATTTTCCGTTAACGTTAATGCACTTTTTCATACGAATGACCCAATTTTGAAAACATTTATGCCACTCCTCCGTGACAATCTCTGAAACATATTTTCATACTCTTCGACAGCCTCTTCAGGTGATGAAAATCGTTGATCGCGTAACTGGTTCTTAATTTTTGGAAATAAATAAAAGTCACAAGGTCTGCCGAATCACATGCCTATCTGTTTTGACCATACGGCGCACAGCATCGATGTTTTTGTTGTTCACGCCTAGCGAAGCTCTGCTGAGCTGTTAAATTACACTTAAAGTCGTAGAAAATCATACTACGAAAATTTTCACGAGTTAAATCCATAGTGATGTAGACAACCAATTTCTAAAATGACGCCACAATGTCAAAACACATGACAGTCAGATGAAACAAACTGTATTCTACAGCCAAAGAGTTCCATTTTCAAATGTTGTAATTACTATTTAAATATTGTTTATGTAGGTGGCCAGTTCCGGAAACGTATAGTGCGCCCTATGTATATTACATCAACTTTCAAAACCAACTAGAGACATTGTGCATAATTTAGCGCGTAGATTTTATTAACTTTATATATTCTCAACGTCAGGGATATAGGACTTCTGTGTGACGGCAGCCATCAGTTACTCAATTCACAAGTTTGTATAGTCCCTCTGTTCAGGACGAAAACGTGTTCGCGCCCATGTGATTTTTAATATTGTAAATTTATTATTGTGATTTATTATTATAATTTGGTATTGTTAATTTAGTTTAAGGTTTGGTAAATAAACGAGAGGGAGAGAGGGGTTTTGCTTGGAGTCTGTAGGGTTCTCCCGTCCCGCTCCTGCATTGGTGCCGTCCCGCTCGCACACTTGAATAGAATGCGAGCGGCACGGCGCGGGCCAGCGATGACATAAAAAGCGGAGCGTTGGGAGCGGAACGACATTCCAAAACTGACTGCACAAGACTCCGAAGGCGTTCCAAATCTCACCGCGATCCAAGCAAGACCAAGATCAAGAAGCTCAATTCACAACCAGGCGTTTTTCTCATAATCCGCCCCCACATTTTCTGGTCCTTCAGCAGCCGGATTACATCAAGAAAGAACAATGCCAGTTACCAGAAGCGCAAAATCATACCCCGTGAATACCCAAGAATCTTCGTCCACTGCTCCAACCTGTTCGACGGGCACCGACACGATCACGGGGACCGAAAAGACCGCTACAACTTCAGAACACACGCGCTCCACGTACGCCACACGTACAACCGGTGCAACTGTGGAAACCGACGCGACGATCAGACAAATCGACGCTGCGCCGACTGCCACCTCGCCAGTCTCCCAACTAGTAGAGAGACCCGAAGCCGGCGCCACTACAAGCGAAGCACCACGGAGAATATGCTCTCCTAAATCTGTTCGATCTTTTCGATCCGGTTCTTCGAACAGTCGTCGTAAGAAGCTAGCGGAAGCGCAACAAGAATTATTGAAGCTGAAAATCGATTTATTATCTGCAAAGATCGCGGCAATGGAAGAGGAATCGGACGAAGACGATCCAGAGGAAGCCACGATCCGCGAGGAACGCACATCGGAGTGGATTCGCACAAGCACTATTGGGTTGAGAAGAGAAGAGCAGGAAGACTACACTGCCGCCACACGTACGAAGGAAGATATATTGAAGGGAAGACCTGCCGAATCACAGGCGCCGCCGCCGACGCGCGACGTCATTCGACAGGAAAAAATCTCCACGTACGCGGCACCTGCAACAGCTGGGACCAGGTGCCCCCCCACCAACTACGCGGGGGGAACGCCCCCCTCTACATACGTCACGCACACAAGTGAGAGACAACAGCCGCAATACTATCGTAACAACGACGGCCACCTGGAACATAAGCCGCCGAGCGACATATGTTACGAAAAGTTAGCAACGGCGATCACTACTGCGGCACGAGCGATTCAACCCACTACTGCAAGACTTCAAGAATTACCCATATTCAACGGTTCGTCAAGCGACTGGCTGCCGTTCAAGACAGCCTATGAGGAATCTGCAGGACTGCTTACAGAACAAGAGAACCTGGCGAGGCTCCGGAGGAGCTTGAAAGGCACCGCTAGGGAAGCAGCTCAATGTTTATTCGTCGGAGCCACGTCCTCCAACGAAGTAATGAGCTTACTGACATCAAGGTTCGGTCGTTCGGACGCGCTCGCACTGGCCGAACTGAGTAAGCTACGCACCCTTCCACGTCTGGGCGAACATCCGAGAGACATCTGCAACTTCGCATCGAAGATCATCAACGTCACGGCCACATTGAAGGCGCTAAACAGACCGCATTATCTACACAATGCCGAGATAGTACGCGCCGTGGTTGAGAAGCTGCCTTCAGCATTGCGCTATCGATACTATGACTTTGCTGCGGAACAGCCAGAATACCAACCTGACCTAGTAACACTGACCGAGTTCATGCAACGCACAGCTGCACGTTGTGGGAGCTACGCGCCCGTCGAGAACACACCTGTGGAAGACCGGCGGGAGCCAGCAGGCAGGAGACCCATGAAGAGCTACCACACTCAAATAGCGAAGCCAGCCGAGCATGAACAAGTTACTACGTGTCCTATTTGTGACAAGACGGGTCATCATGCGGCGCAATGCGACGAAATGAAGACAGCAGATGTAGCCGCCAGGTGGGACATAGCACGCAAACACAGGCTATGTTTCCGCTGTTTACGAACACGCAAATTTCGCCATACGTGTAAGAACAAGAGGTGCGGCATCGACGGTTGCGAGTACATGCATCATTCACTGCTGCATGGCACTCCACCCTCATCAAAGGAGAAGAAAGAAGCTCCTGCATCATTTGTTGTGGCATCAGCAAAAGACAGAAGCAACACCACCGCGCTACTGAAGGTACTCCCTGTGCAAGTGAGGGGCCCCAAGGGTACGTGCAACGCACTCGCACTACTGGACGACGGGTCAACGTGCAGCCTGATTGAGGCGGCGCTAGCAAGAAGGATCGGCTCAGCGGGTACACCAGCACCCTTTTACATTGAGGGTGTAGCCGGCACGCGAATCAACGTTGGCGAATCGCAACAAGTACGCATTTCTCTGCGCGGGCGCGACACGAATGAGCATACAATAACAGCCCGCACCATGAACAACTTGAAGCTATCGCCGCAAGCAGTGCCACGTAACGTCATACGAGCTTGCCCCCACCTGCACGACTTAGAAGAGCATCTCATCTACGAAGAGGGATCACCTACGATACTGCTGGGTCAAGACAACTGGCATCTTTTACTCACACATGCCGTGCGACAAGGGGACCGACACCAACCGATCGCAACACTCACCGATTTAGGTTGGGTTCTACACGGCACTAAGAGATCGAGTGAAAGAGTCAACACCCACAAAGTACTCCACGCTGTCGCCCCTGATGATGAAGAGTCCATGGAGCAGATGATGAGGGAACACTTCAGCCTCGAGTCATTGGCTGTCACACCGAGACGCAGCCACAACGACGACGAGCGACGAGCACTGCAACAACTAGAAGATAAAACCCGCCGTTTACCGGCGGGAGGCTTTGAAACCGGTCTTCTATGGCGTAACGAGCACGTTCATCCACCTGACAGCTACGACGTGGCGTTAAGAAGATTGGAACTAGTTGAAAAGAAACTCGACCGCGACGAGGTACTGAAAAAGAGATACGAAAAACAGTTACAAACACTGTTCGACAACGACTACGCAGAAATAGCGCCACCCCATAAGAACCCGAAGACTTGGTATTTACCCCATTTCGCCGTCATCAATCCACAGAAGCCAGAGAAGCTCAGATTGGTCCACGACGCCGCTGCCAAAGCCAAAGGAGTCAGCCTGAACGACATGCTACTACCAGGCCCGGACTTAATACAATCCCTGCCCGGCGTGTTGATGAAGTTCCGTCAGCGACCAGTAGCGGTAGCAGCCGACATCAGAGACATGTTTCTTCGTGTGACCATACGAGAGGAAGATAGAGACATGCAACGCTTCCTGTGGAGAGGAGACGACCGAGATCGCCAACCGACCGAGTACCGTATGAAGAGTGTCATATTCGGCGCCACATCATCTCCCTGTACTGCTATCTACGTAAAGGACAAGAACGCGGAACACTTTCGTGCTCAGTACCCCGAGGCGACAGCGGCAATCATCGACAACCATTACGTCGACGACTACCTAGCGAGTTTTGACGACGAAGGAGCGGCCGTACGCATATCCACACAAGTTGCGTACATACACAGCCGCGCGAACTACTTCCTGCAACGTTGGGCATCAAACTCGCGCCGAGTACTAAGCACGCTATCACCGGGGTCGAAAGGCGACATACTACAACTGGACAGCACGAAAGTACTGGGCATGGTGTGGCAACCAGAGGAAGACACCCTGTCTTTCAACATCAACACTCACAAAACACCGGCGGAAGTATACAACGGGGCAAGAACACCAACTAAAAGGGAGGCGCTACGCACTACGATGTCCATATTTGATCCATTGGGCATCGCCACTCCAGTCACCATACAAGCGAAGCGCATCATACAAGACACGTGGCGCTCAGGCATCGATTGGGACACCCCGTTAGAAGCGCCCGAAGCGGACGCCTGGAGCAGATGGCTGGAAGATGTACGACGACTCGCCAAGATAAAAGTACCGCGCTGCTATATGAAACTTAGTCACGCGCGCGGCATCCAGTTACACACATTCGTGGACGCAAGTTCAACGGCATACGCGGCCGTCACCTATTGGCGTGTAAAAGACGAAGATGGCAACATACACGTCTCACTCATCATCGGCAAGGGGAAAGTAGCTCCGTTGAAGGTGATCTCCATACCACGACTAGAGCTGCAAGCTGCCGTGCTGGGTTGCCGTCTTACACAGACCGTCGTCGACGAGCATCAATTTAAACCGACAAGTCGCTACTACTGGACAGATTCCCGCACTGTGCTGACCTGGATACGCAACGGACCGCGAGTTTATAAACCGTTCGTAGCGCATAGAGTGGCGGAGATCGCTGAACACACTAAAACGAAAGAATGGAGATGGATACCCACCAAAATGAACGTCGCAGACGACGCCACCCGCGACGTGCCACACGACTTCGACTCTAATCATCGATGGTACAGGGGGCCGGACTTTCTATATATGTCGGAAGAAAATTGGCCTCAAGAGGAAGTCACGGACGTCAACGTCACGGATGAAGAACGGGTCCACCTCACCACAGGCGTCGGCGCGCGACTGAAGGAAGCTCTACCCGAAGTAACTCGTTTCTCAAGTTGGATACGCCTCATGCGGACCACAGCGCGCGTACTACAGTTCATAGACAGGCTGCGGACGCGCACACAACGATGCGCCGCTTTAAGGAAGAGAACGAGGAAAAATGCCGACGCCGACCCTACTTGGCGAAAAAATGATACAGAAAGCAAGAAGACGAATACTTCCGAGGCTGTGCGTGGAAAGCAAGTTTTACACAAATTTAAAACGATCGACGCATCATATTTACGCCACGCCGAGTCGCTGTGGATACGAGCACAACAGGAAGAGGCGTTCACCGAGGAAATCAACGCCCTCAAGAGGGGGACCCCTTTTCCCCCCTCTAGCCGCCTTATGAAATTATCAACGCTACTCGACGGCGAAGGCATAATACGACTACGATCGCGAATAGCGGCGGCGGGTGATATCACTGAGCAACAACGGTCACCAGCCGTGCTTGATGGAGACCACCCGTGGGTGCGACTGTATATCGCCTGGATACACAAACAGACGCACCACGGAGGCTTCGGCATCACCACCAGCGAGGTACGACAGCACTACTGGCTCCTACGACTACGCAACGCTGTGCGAAGCGAACTGAAACGTTGCCGAGTGTGCCGCATCATGAGAGCCACGCCTCCACAACCCTCGACTGGAAACCATCCGCATCTCGCTCACCATCAACGCCCGTTCACATACACCGGGCTGGATTTCTTCGGCCCACTCCAAGTCACAGTAGGCCGCACACGACAAAAAAGATACGGAGCGATCTTCACCTGCCTAACCACGAGAGCGGTCCACGTCGAGGTCGCCGGAGATCTGAGCACCGACTCCGCCATCATGGCACTCCGTCGCTTCATATCGCGACGCGGATGCCCGACGGAGCTGTGGTCTGACCAGGGAACCAATCTCCGCGGCGCGGACGCCGAGCTACAGAGGGCAGCACTAGAAGCTATACAGGAAGACGCCAGTATCCGGTTCATCAAGTGGAGATACATACCGCCGAGCGCACCGTTCATGGGAGGAGCATGGGAGCGTCTGGTACGAAGCATCAAAACAGCTCTGTACACCGTACTGCACGAACGCGCCCCGAAAGAAGAGGTCCTGCACACTCTATTGGTCGAGGCAGAGCACACCCTCAACAGCCGCCCTCTCACCCATGTATCCACTGCTCCAGAAGACGAGAACCCCCTGACTCCGAACCACTTCCTACTGGGGGGTCCCTCACGAGTACCACTGCCTGGAGCCTTCACGGACACTGACATCGACGGGCGCAAGATCTGGCGGACCAGCCAACGACTGGCCGACATGTTCTGGTCACGCTGGATAAGAGAATACCTCCCTGATCTCCAGCACAGACGAACTCCGAGAGCCACCAACGGCGCGCTACAACTGGGAGACTTGGTGTTCATAGCCGACGGGACGCTACCACGCAACACCTGGCCCCGCGGCATCATTGTGGCTACATACCCAGGCCCCGACGGAGAAATAAGGGCGGTCGACGTGCGGACAAACAGAGGAGTTCTGCGCCGTCCTACAAAGAAGCTGGTAATCATTGAAACGGGAGGCAACGAGACAACGAAGCGCGAACCCTCGGACTTTCCAGCTACAAGCTGCGGCGGGAGAATATGTTCAGGACGAAAACGTGTTCGCGCCCATGTGATTTTTAATATTGTAAATTTATTATTGTGATTTATTATTATAATTTGGTATTGTTAATTTAGTTTAAGGTTTGGTAAATAAACGAGAGGGAGAGAGGGGTTTTGCTTGGAGTCTGTAGGGTTCTCCCGTCCCGCTCCTGCATTGGTGCCGTCCCGCTCGCACACTTGAATAGAATGCGAGCGGCACGGCGGGCCAGCGATGACATAAAAAGCGGAGCGTTGGGAGCGGAACGACATTCCAAAACTGACTGCACAAGACTCCGAAGGCGTTCCAAATCTCACCGCGATCCAAGCAAGACCAAGATCAAGAAGCTCAATTCACAACCAGGCGTTTTTCTCATAATCCGCCCCCACACCCTCTGTTTGCATGCATATTATAACGTCTGTTAAATCATCACTTAGAATATTAAATCTCTTCATTATATTAATATTTAACTCTTGGATGGTTAGTTGTCCTCGCCAATGATTAGATCACATTGTTCGCATGTCTATGTAAAATTATCCTTATGTAAGGAATAAAATATATATTTGTATTGCACTACAATTTGCAGAGCCTAACGACGTTCCTTCGGTTAAGTTCTAGATCCTTAAGTCAAAAGGTTCATTTTAGTACTTAAACGGGAAACACAGAGAGTGATTGCGGGTAATGTATATCTGAAATTATATAATAAACATATGTATATCTGAATAAATAGTTATTATTAATTGTATAAATGAAATTAGTTACGTCTGGCCCGCACACCATGTTAATTAGAACTTATAACCACATACCAAATTATATTAAAAACCTTTCTTGTTAATAAACCTTATTATGACTTATATGAATTTTTTCACGATACATATGATGACAAATAACAATAATAATACAAATAAAATTGGTTACCCTTTATTGGTTACCCAATAAAGAACAGTCTTCAAAATTATATCAGCCTTCAAAATTATATAATTATGTTTTCACCCGAATATTAATATTTGACTTTAAGAATGCGTACAGATCTGTTGAATACGTTGCACGTGTCCTGCACGCATGCAATCTGCAATGACATTTCATAATGCTTGCGAGCTGTCCGCGAACAGATCGCACTACGTAATACACATATGCAGCGCACGAACCTTTCACAAACAGGCGTAATCGATTTGTACGCACCCTAATGAAATAAGAACCTCTAATAAATTGTACACATGCACTTTTAAACAAGGTGTACCTACATTTGTAAATACATGAAAGTAACAAAAAATAAAAATTGAACTTTTTTAATATTGGAGCAATGAATTGATATTTTATTTCTCTTGTTTCCAGATATGCAATTGCAGGTAAACACTTAGCAAACTTCATGGAATTCGTCACAAATACATTCGACATAACCTCGGACTCACAAGCGAAAGAAGCTGTCCTTCCAAAAACATTCCCAGAGAGCATATTACCGCCCAACATTCGGCAAGAACTTGAGAGTATATCACTGGTCAGCGTGGAGGGCTTGGACAGATACATACGGGCACATGGACAGACCTTGAAAGACATGGTGAACACTTGGCAAAACACATTCAAACGAATACCCGACGCTGTCATATGGCCGGAGAATCATGAACAGGTTGGTCATTTCTAAAAAACCATAACAAGCCATATTGCAGCCACTCAAACGGTCCTCGCCTAGGTTTAAGAACCTAAATGTATTTCAGAAGTTCCTTCGACATTTGGACGACTGTATTTAATAAAGAGGATCATTGCGTGTGTATTTTGTTCAGGAACTGGTTGCCTTTGCAGAAAAGTGACAATATCGTGTATAATTTTAAAAAATAATTTCCTTTTCTCTGATCAGGTGGTGCAAATAGTAGAGTGCGCATCCAAGCACAACTTTGTTATTATTCCATTCGGTGGAGGCACTTCAGTGTCTGGGTCCATCACCTGCCCAGAGCACGAGAGCAGGCCCATCGTTGCGCTCGACACGAGCGACATGAATTCTATACTATGGATTGACAAGGAACAGCTGTTGGCCAGATTGCAGGTAAGGCACGTGAGCTTATTGAAAAATGTAACACTGTTAGGGACTAAATGATTATCACTAAAATCAGGTTTCTTACGGTAACATACCGTGGTAAGAAACCTGATATTAGTGATAATGATTTAGTGAATAACCACGAAAGTCTTAAAATCTGTTAGGGACTAACCATACACACATAAAGACCGTGACCGGGACGTGGATGAACCATGCTCGTTTATATGAACGGCTGCGCCGGCCGGGACAAGGCCATAGCTGAACGAGTTCATACAAAATATACGCACTAATTAACTCAAATGTTCTGAATAGCTCGGAAAGCGCCCTTCGATTCAAGAACGATATCCAGTGGAACGACTCGATTAAAATATGAAATTGTTATGACTCGGGGCCCTTATGTGTACAGTTAGTCCTTTAGAAAAGACGTATTTACTACTTTAAGAATCGAATAGACAGGAAACCACTGCGACCTGTCTGTTTCATTTATCCCTTAGTAGCTTTCTACGTTATCGGAAAGATATGAGATGATATATGTGGGAAATTTACTGCTTTCAGTCCGGCATCGTCGGGCAAGACCTCGAACGTGAAATGCGAGCGCGAGGTTTCACAGTGGGCCACGAACCCGACTCGTACGAGTTCTCGACAGTCGGCGGTTGGGTGGCTACCAGGGCAAGCGGGATGAAGAAAAACACGTACGGAAACATTGAAGACCTTCTCGTGCAGACCAAGGTGACTTGCTGTATTTTTTAATGATAGCATAAGTGACGGAATGAGCGAGTTGTGCGCCTGCTGGTAAGCGACACGCCTGTCCGTAGTAGTTGCAATGCCACTCAGAGCTTTAAATCGCAAAGATCTAGGGGATAGTGCCGTCGCGCCCGTCATCCTAAGACGTAAGTTGAAAAGTCCCATGTGTCTGTAACTTCACCAACACCCTTAACCTTCAAAACCGGAACGCAGTAATATTCACAATACGGCTTGGCAGCAGAAATAGATACGGTGGCAGTACTTCCCTCCACAAGCTTTTTCACAAGGACTTCCACGCTGCTACTGAATATATAAAAACCGCGCCTAAAGTCTGTCTTATTTTAGTTTACAATTACGTCATTTTTATTTTAATCCTTACTTTATATTTATGTTGTTGTAATTTTTTTTTAACAAAGATTATTATTCTTATTAAAAAAAAATTTTATGAGTGAATTTTTATTTTTTTGGTTGACTGATAAAGAAAGCCTTATGGCATTAAAGACGCCATTTGTATTTCAGTGTATTGTCCCATAAAGTTTAAATCAAATAAATAAATATTTAGCATGTCAGCCAATACCTATTTAGTAAAACTAATTTAGTCTGAGTAGCGAAATCTGCGTGCCTTGAAAAGTACGTAGATACCTTCTTGTTACACCAGCTTGCCAATCACCCAGCATACCACCAGACCATTGTTTCAGCGGATGTTTTACTTTGAACTATGATTTTTGACCTAGGTACTCAGCAATAACCATGTCCCGAAAGACAACGATGAATTTTTCATTGATTTTGTTTTTTATTTTGTGAAATAACTCCAATAGTTTTGCACTAATTATTAAATACAGATATCAAACATAAAGAAAAACTCCCTACAGTAGCTTAGTTGGTAAAGCAATGGGGACAGAATCCGTGGTCACAGGTTCAAGTCTTGTCGAGTCTAAGTAATTTTCTTCGTGTTGAAACACGAAGAAAATTTCTCTGTAAGTATGTATGATAAATGTAAGTGAAGCAAGAGAAGTTTATAAGGATCATGCTAAGTGGCGATCGATGGTATGCCTACCCCAATGGGAATCTAAAGCGTGAGTATATAAATCATATTTTCCCCAGTGGGCACCGAAGAATCTTAGGGCGTTGAAGCTGTCTAGAGTGTGCTACAGCATTTCGACGGCGACAGTGCAATTGCGCTTTAACTAGCATTTGATTTTGTCGCCAAATCAAATACGCGTAAATGTCGTGACAACCACCTTAGAGTGATTTACGGGAATCTATTGATATCAGTCCATAGACAACATAAATTAATACTTACTGTGCAAAAATGAAAGTCGTAGCCGTTGAAATAATAAAGTAATAATGTTAAATCCGTCTCCAGTGAAATTTGGTTTGGTGCAAATACGCGTTTTTTACCAATACTACATACGCGGATTTGCACTAACCCCGACGATTTGAAAAAAAAAAGCTGAATTATCTATACAAACTATACTACATATATATGTAATTTTTTTCCTTATGATTTTTTGTGTTAAGTTAATGTAAAAAATACGTGTTATCAATCATTTTTTGTTTTTTTTTTATTTATTTATATTTATATCTTAGGTTCCCAAACTTTTTGGCTTACTCCCACCGCTCAATTTAAGCAAGATAAAAGTGTAAATATAAATAAATACGATAAATAAATTCATCTCTGTATTTAATAATCATAGCAAGTTTACATTTGTTTTTAAAGACGGTGACACCGCAAGGGGTGATAGAAAAGGGATGTCGCGTGCCTCGGATGTCCTGCGGACCAGATTGGGAGCACGTCATCATGGGGTCTGAAGGATGCTTCGGTGTCATCACTGAGGTATTTATCTTTATCATCTACTAACAAGCTTCTTCCTTTTACATGAAAAAAGACCCATAGTGTATAGAGGAAACGTCGCGAAACGCCATTGGTACAGCGTCAAGAGCACGTCAAGCTTGACATTTAAGATTTAAATCCAACTCTATGCCGCTTACCATAAGAACGGTCCAAAGTGCAAAGTGTCAAGCTTGACGTACTCTTGACTATACAATGGACTGGAATAATAAACTAATCTACAGTATGATATTTTTTAATTGGGACGGAATGGGTAAAATTGAAACCACAGGAAAACTGTTTTCGGGACCATAAGTCCTTTTTTTAAACAATTTTGGTATAGTCGATTTTTTGGTCAAGCGTTAGTTGTCCATAAAAATGAATAAAATTGATTAATTTTTTTAATGCTGATCAACTCAGTTTCATCTAATGATCATTTCATTGTATTGGAAGAAAAAATCGGGGCAGCAGAAGTTGGTCAATTTTAATAATATCTTATTTCAACACATTCTGCAATAATATTTTATTAAAAATAAGAAATACATTAGTAAAACATCAAGATTCCTTTTTCCATGAAAATTGGAAATGAAACTATTGTTGGGACCTGTAAAGGGCACTAAACGTTGGTTTCTTTGAAAAAACATATAAGCGATTTACGTATTTAAAAATTAGAATCATTCCCAATATTCATAAAATGATTTGCTAATGTAATATTGGACCACCTTTTCCTAATAATTAACCCATGCTATACGCTGCATAGTTTGCCTCTACATTCAAATTATGTATTTATATTTCAGGTGACGATAAAAATCCGTCCACTACCACCTATCACCCGCTATGGGTCGCTGGTGTTCCCTGACTGGGAGTCAGGGTTCTATTTCGAGCGGGAAGTGGCTCGACAGCGCCTGCAACCATCTAGTATAAGACTCATGGACAATGAACAGGTATATGTAGCTTCATAATTGACGTAACGTCTCGACTTGAGCGGGACGAAGGAGAAGGGTCACAGCCCATAGAAAATTAACCCAATCTCGGCGCAAACGACACCTATTTTAGAATTTTGCTTATACAAGGTAAGTAAAATGTTTATGATTACCTACATAAACAAAAAATAAAAAAACTTATTGTTCATGTATGACTAGCATGGTTATTTCAAAACATAAATTTCAAGTCTAAGCAACAGCATTGTGAAAACGTGAATTTGTTCTGATATATATACCTATGTAATGTATCCGACGCTCGTTTGTTACTGTAAGCTTATTTAGTATTTCTCATTGTAAGTGAATGTTTGTGTTCTGTTTTGAGAAATAAATGTCTTAAACCATAAACCATATATTCTGTATAGTTTTTGTTTTCGATATCAGTGGATAACATTGTTTTTATTATTTTACGTAGTCTGTTTAGAATAAAATTTTGTTGTTGCTTTGATCTATTCACATTATGTGTATACATTACGTGTATACATTATATACTAAATACATTACACAACGTTAAACCCTCTACAATCACAATTTACTGCTACAGCTGTAATTATATTCACATTCGCACATAGGAAACAGGTTATTTTAGATGCACTATTTACACTTTACTATGCATATTATTATTGTCAATGTATAAAATAACTTAATCCCTCTCGATGGTCCTGACTGAAAACCAGCGCTTTAGGAAACTTTGGAAAGTGCTGAGTCAGGACCGTTTCACTGCTATGACAATCATGTTGTTTTTTATTTTATGCTTAATCTGTATTTGTGCTATATCAGTGAATAAAGTGTTTATCTATCTATCTATTTATTTAACATGTCAATATTACCTTTTGTTTGTGCTCAGGCGCATAGAGAATGTAGATAGGTAGGTAGGTAACATAGCCTGGCGATAAACATAACTATTTTTTGTGTAAAAGAATGAATTACTGACACCCGCAGTGTTCCGTAAAGTTTTCATTTTGAATTACAGGTTCCCTTGATAACACGAGGGCAATATTTCACGCCGGATAGTCCTGGGTGGACTAGACACCATATACATATTCGACCACCCCGCACAGGGTGTCTTATTAGACGTAGATTTTAAGAAGACAATGTAAAACAAAAACAATCGTATCTATTGTTTTTTTTACCGTTTTCTTCAGTTTTCTACATTATTCCTACCTTTATTGGTCAAATTAAACTTCCATAAAATAATTTTTGAAGAATAGAGAAGAAAATCTTGTGTGGAAGGCTTTTGTGTATACATGAACATAAATTACCTTACTCTATGCGCCTGAGCAAAAACAAAAAGCAATAATATTTACATGTTAGCCACTGATATCGAAAACAAAAACTATACAGAATTTACTTACCTAACATAAGCAAAATTCTGAAATAGGTTTCTTTTGCGCCGGGACTGGGTCATAATTGACCCTTCTCCTTTATGCAAAAGCGACCTCAGAAACCTGAAGTCCCGGATTCGGTCCCCGACGGAGTCAATGTAGAAACTAACTTTTCTATACTGTCTGCGGGTCCAGGTGTTTATGGTATCGTAGTTGTTTGCGATTTCCATAACCCAGTGCCTTAGTTACTTACTTTGTGATCGGAGCTACGTATGTGATGTTGTCTAATAAGGTACAGGAGGCATTTAAAGCCCACCTTTATTTAAAATATTTTTTTTTATAATATTTATACACAAGGAGGCTATCGAGAAAAACACGTTAAACATAAAAGCCTCGTCTATTTGAGCATCTTCGCAAACATAGACAGTTTAAAAAATATGACGAAGTAATTGAAATATTTAATATTTTCTTATAATTAATTATTAACACGAACACTTAAAAAAAATTGCTTCGATCCTTCCGAATTCGAAACGACGTCTTATAGCAAACCGTGCCAGACGCTATCTATGCCAACCAAGCAAAAGTCGTGGAAAACCAAGCACAAAGATCCGACAACAACACGTAGAAAAATTCTTAAGGATCGCTGGTTCGTTCCATTGCTTAGTTGGCATAGCGTCTGGCACGGTTTACTAGAAGACGTCGGTTCGAATCCGGCCGGATCGAATGAATTTTTTCCATTAGTTCGATCTTTGCATTAATAATTATAACAAACTAGTGAAGTAATTTCACAAGAGAATTTAATATTTAATTAAAATAATTAAATTTAATATTTAATATGTGGGCTTTATTAAGAAATTCCTTGTGTAATGTGGTTTCAGTATGTAACTCATGATTTTTTTTCAAGTTCCGTTTCGGCCTGGCGCTCAAGACGGAGACCACGTGGGGTGGAGTGATCCTAGATGGTCTTAAAATGATGTATCTAACCCGCATCAAGGGATTCGATCCAGACAAATTATGCGTTGTAACTCTACTCATGGAGGGCACTGCCGAAGAAGTAGTCGAACGGCACAAGAAGCTGAACAGCATTGCCGCAAAATGGGGAGGAGTGCCCGCCGGGGCCACAAATGGGGAACGAGGATATACCCTTACTTTTGTCATTGCTTATATAAGGGTGAGTTTGTTTAATTTTTTTACGTTTCTCCGTTTACACATAATGTGAAATGAAATGCTGGTGAAATTACAGGCACATGGGACTTGTCAACTAGTGTCACGGGTGACGGGCGCACAGACCCTCAAATCTTTGCGATTTAAAGATCTGATCTTAAGAAAGATCTTATTTTAGCTATTGTTCTGTAGCTATTCTTACTACAGCTATTCGCAAAATATTATTTTTTATGTAAACAAAATAAGTTTACCAAAATGTTTGTAATTTCTTCAAAAAATCTCTCAATTCGACTGTATTTTTGTATGTGTATATTACGCGGTAACTCCGGCGTTTGTGAACCGATTTTGATGATTCTTTTTTTATTGGAAAGAGGGTACTTCAGCAGTGGTTCCATTTAAATTTGAAGACAACACTCCACCTCTAAGGGTGGCAAACTAGGGAATGAATGTGGTTTCGCGCACTTTCCGTTAACCGATTTCAATAAAACTTGGCATAAATATGTAATTCCAATAAAAAAGCGTATAAACGAACTTTTAAGGTCGGTTTCCTTTTTTTAGTAAAAAACTTTACTTTTACACCCTTTTCTTCCTCGAAGTATAGGACATGAGTCAACTAAAAAAAGTTTAAATGTACATTTTTATTCAGTATACACAATTAAGCGTGAACACACAGAGAGCGGGTGCGGGTAGGGCACGTGTCAATACACGGAATTAGACCCGCCGCACACCCGACCCGACATACGCCCGACTCACACCCTTACTCGTACGTTTCACGCTTTAATGTTACGGTTTATGAACTTCATAGCTACTGTCTTTTAATCCCCAAATGTATTATGTTTAAGGACCTGGGTCTCCAATACGACGTGGTGGCGGAGTCGTTCGAGACGTCAGTCCCGTGGGACCGTACCCTTGCGCTGTGCACAAACGTAAAGAGGCGCGTCAGCGAAGAATGCCAATCGCGCGGCATCAGGCATTACCTTGTCTCATCCAGATTAACGCAAACGTAAGTTTATTACAAGTACCCACCACAGTTTTATTGCAGGACTTTATATAACAACAATTCGTACTCTTGGTTATAATATAGGCACATGTGATCATCATAGGACGAAAAAAGGTATTCCACATATTTAGATACATGTATGGACATAGCCACAAAGAGCGGCATAGAGTTGTTAAAACCACCAAATATTTCTTAATTATCTTTTCCAATTCCCGATTTCCGGAAATGGTTTCACTCCATCGTAGGACAAACTACTGACCTAGGAAATCGAAGATTAATAAGAAGAAAGAAGTAATTCTAATGGTGCCATGTAAAAAATGCAGTAGATAACTGACAGTCTTGTAGCCGTCCCGTCAATATGACCGTCAATATGCGGGGCGCAGTGCAGTATCTAAAGCTACGGAAGGGGGGAGACTGACTATTCTCGATACTTTTTTATTCTGTGTTTTGGAATAAGGTCAGTTATCTAAATCCGGAATTGCGATTTAAAGATCCGGATGGCACTGCAACTGTTATGAACAGGCGTGTCGTTTAACGACTTGTTCGTCCCGTCACTTGATATTATAAAAAAATAATCCGTCCGAAACAATCACTGTCCCTTCAAAACCGGAACACAGTAACGCTGACATTACTGCTTGGCGGTAGAAATAGGTAAGGTGGCAGTACAAACCTGGACGAACCCTTTCACAAGGAGCTCTACTGCTACTAAAAAGATGTCGGACGGAGAACGGGAGTGAGTACAGAGCCTGAATCAAACATTATGGCGCAACATGGCTGTCGGAAGCATATTGTTGTTCCGAGCAATTTTGTAAACATCAAAGTATGAGCAAAGTATATTTAGTAAAATCATTATCATTACCCTGCTACATGAATCAATACATACCTACATTATTATTATTACTAATATTTTAATTCACTGTTAATGGTATAGATACGACGCCGGTTGCTGCATCTACTTCTACTTCGCATTCAACAGCCGCGAGTGCAGTAGCGACGCGGTCACCGTCTATCATGAAATCGAGGAGGTTGCTAGGGACGAGATCATTGCTTCGGGAGGTCAGTTTCAAACTAGGATAAATTTTCTTTCTAACAAAGAAACTAAGTGTATTTTCATGCTTTTTGTCAACGCACTTGTTGCACTTCCGTTTAAAACTTTTCACTCCTTTTTTTTCTTTCCATAAAGGAAAAGGCAAAGGTTTTACACCATACAGTCAAGTCTTGGTACATTATTTTTGAGCCATGTCTTCGTTTAATTGTTTCTGTAAATATGGCCGCCACAAAGAGGATAGGCAATTTGAGGCGGCGTGTTTAGATTGACTCGGGATTCCTTAGAACGGGCCGATACGGGTATTTTAGTTCGAGATTCGTATAATTTCGCGTTTAAATCTTCGATTAAGGCACAATAGCACTATCCTATTCCACTTTAAACTAGATTTCACAAAATAATTGAAAGTCAAAATAAAAACGACACTTTTCCCTCCAAAAGGCCCAGAGCGAATCACTTTTCTCTCTGTGTGTCGCGTCGCGATGTATTATGTTGGTAGCATTGATTTTTTCTTTTTTATTAGGGGTGGGCGTTTAAACGAAAAGCACTTTAAAAGTTTGCGTTTTAAAAGAAGCACATATTATGCACGCTTTTCAATATTTAAGAGTAAGCGTTAACAACGTCAATTTTATGTGTCAAGTCCCGCCATCTATGTTTCCTAAACAAATTATTTCGTCAATATGAATAATAATTTTATAAATAAAAATAAAATTCGTGTTTTACAATTAACTTACTTACCTCTTCAGTTGTCTACTCTTGCTTTTCGTTACGCAACATTGCAAGCTTTTTTTAAAATAAAAGTCTATGCGCTTAAACGTTTTTCTAAAAGCTTCAAAGCGTTTAAGTGAAAAGCGTTTGGAAAAGCACGCTTCTTTAAAAAAAGCACAATGTTTAAACGTTTAAAAAAATAAGCAGTTTTCCCATCTCTAATTTTTAATTTTGAAAGACTAGTGTTGGGTCATGGAAAAATTTTCCTTTTGAGAAAATCATATTTTTCAGAAAAGAAAATATTTCCCACAATTGGCAATGACATCTGCCAAAAGCTGAAGATACTGAACTCAGAGAATTTAAGAAAATAAGCCAAGGAAGGTTTTAAACAATTAAATTTGGCAATTAGTATTCAATTTTATTTTATAGTTCATCCTAAATAAAACCATAAAATATATATCTAAACGTAGTACCTAGTACAACTTTGAGTCTTCGAATTATATTTTCCAATTTTTCTGAAAAATTTCCACTATTTGAAATTGTTCAATATATTATGATATCACATTGTTGGAAATATTGCAATTACATTAGTGTATATTATCAAAATAATGACATTATGTCCTGTCCGTCCTTCGAACACTCACAACTTCGTAATTAATTTATTACATTTCTTATTACCCATTAAATTGGTTTTGTTATTGATTTAAATGATGTAGCTCACAAATTATTATGATGTAATAAACACCTACTTGTACTCTTTACAGGATCAATATCGCACCACCATGGAGTGGGTAAACTTCGCAAGAAATGGTACACAGACACAGTGAGCAGTCCTGGTCGCCAGCTCTTGCTTGCAACAAAGAATGCATTAGACCCTGACAACATCTTCGCTTTAGGAAACATGGCACTTGGAGAAAATACAAATAGTGCGGACCCAACAATAAAAAGCAAACTTTAAATAAAACCAAACGAATTTGTCAGCGGCATCTTAGGATGTAGATACTTGATTATTATTATAATTGTGTAAGTGAACATTTGTTAGCATGTTTTTGCTAAGGCCTTCATATACAGGACGATTTGTATTCACGATTAGTCATTTCAGACTAATTCGCAACGAGGACTCGATAGTGTCTGTTTATGTCTTTAACGACTACCTTGAACGCCAGTAGAGTACCGACAGATCGATGCGATATCGGGACGATCGATCGAGCAATTTTTTGTGTATGGGGCCTTGGCCTTTAGCAAGGTTGGGGTTGTGGTATGGCCTATATCGATACCGGGTCGATTATCCGGCCCTCTATTTAGTAGAGTGAAAATAATTGTAAGCATTCGTTTAGACACGGTACACCACCGTTCGCCAAAGTTCAAAATGAGCTGACAGCTTATTAAAAGTTATTTTCAGCACTCTGTAATTAAAAACCTATTTATTGTACACACGTGGAATTTTATATCTAATAAAACACAGAATCCCAAAATTTTGTAAAGTGAGGTCAAGTTAAGATCTGAAGAATATCGCCGCTTGACCAAAACTCTGAACCACTTACAGTTGACTGAAATTTGGCATGGAGTCAAGTCGTTGAACATACATGTAACAAACAAGCGTAAAATAGCATGTTGTGACCAGAAAAAACAAGCGTAATTGAATACTAACAACTACAATATTTATTTCTTCGACGGGACGGGACCGCAAAAGATTTCGTGAAGTATAGCCGACACACATACTCCAATTTTCTGTATTTCCCTTTCTACCAAACATGGAATAACTGTTATTTTCGTGTCACGTCAAACACTTCTTCGGTATCTCGTATAACCAGATACGTAGTACGCTTAACTTCTTGATTTTTTTACTCAACTAATAGGTACCTACCTATTTTGTTATAAACAATACGACTAGACATGCATCATTGACGATAATGCATGTCTAGTACCCTACGTAACTTTCTACCGCACATCAAGATCTAGTTCGGAATTATTTAGTACAGCACTCCAGCAAAATCCTTTTTTGGTTTAAAGGTAAAACATACAATACCCCTTGCAATGTGCGAAGTCTAGTTAGTATATAAAGAAGTGAAGTAATAGTTATGATCGCCAAGGATTTTTTCTATGTAATTGCCATTACAATAATCTGAAGCAGACAAGGGCACCGATTGCAAATTCGTTTATTCGTGTTTAAAAAAAACATTAAAGCTGAAAAATATTGATAAATTCAATATTTTTCACACTCACTAATTTTTTTGTAGAATCAATCACATTATTAAACGCTCTTAATAATTTATTTTAATTTATGTTATTAATTAATTTTAATTGCTGTATTGAAATATATTAAATATCATAGAAGCTGATACTACATTAAAATAAAGATAATGTTCGCCTCGCCGGTATTACGCCGCGCCGCTCTAATTCATCAGTGGAAAAATGTTACAAAAAATATAGATGTACCACTAGAAACATGCCTATGAAAAAGGAGCCAAGTTGAGAACAACGAACAACAGGGTCCGTCAACGTCGTCGATTAAAGAACTGTAAGTGGCAAGTTTTCACATGTATGTCGTTTGTTTACAATATAAAAAAGTACCTAATCCTTCTACGTCATGACAAAATTTACAGCAGCATTTTGTCTAGTAAATATAAATGACTTATGTGTGAAAACATGCTCCGTTCAGGATAGTGTAATGTAATTAAATTTTCAACTATCTCCGTGTAAGATATACATACATATTACATTACGCGCAGTAAGGATTTTTTCACAGCACGAGACTTTTAAACGGATAGACCAAATTGTCAATAGATTAGTATGATATTGTAGATTTGTACAGTTGTTATTGTTATATATCGCACCCTTAGTAATATAAGGGCACAATCCAAAAAAGTAGATTATTGGGAAATTTGGGAATTGATAGGGACTTAAATAATAAATGGGATCAAACTTAAATAGCTCCATATTTCTGTTATATTTTTTTTACTATATGGGACTAACTTGAAAGTGTTTTTTTAACTTGCTTGAAACTTATGGAATTTATTTATATTATTTTTTTTATTGCTATTTATAATACATTTATCAAAGAACAAATCTGCCAAATTTCATATTTATAACTTAAATAATAAGCATGTTATTTGAAAAAATAGGTGTAATGTAGGAATTCAGAATCTTAATACGCGATTTCCCAAAAATCTACTTTTTTTGGATTGTGCCCTTATATTACTAAGGGTGCGATATATATATGGGTAACTTTCAATGAACTTGAAATTGGAAAAAAAATCCCACTTCATTTTCAAATTATTTATCTGCAAAACAGTCGGATTCACTGTTCGTTGTCCTAATCTTGGCCCCAGTTTACATGCATATTTTTAGTAGGACTTACACCAATATTATTTCTTGCAATTAAGGGTTTATAAATAAGTTTTGATAGCGATATTGACGCTACGTTGTTAACATGGGTATAAAGATATAAAAGTAGTGCCTTTTATATAATAATATGCTCACATATTGCACTCCTCCGTTCTATATTATTATTTACAATTTTTTTTCTTAAAACTTGACATCGTGCTTTGCACATCGATGTTTAAAAAACATTTTTCAACATTGCTCAATTTTATTTAGCGCATAATTATTAAACAAACTAAAACATTATTATTATCATCTATGATCAAAATTTTTACATTTCTTACTAAGACAATAGATATAAGTAGTACGTTAACATTCCTGGGTTTGCAAATTATTAATAAGATATTGTTTACTCTTATATACAAAAGAGACAAATTGTGTACCAAAAAATAATGCCAATAAAATAAATGGTAGCTTTATTAGCAATTTATTTTATATTCATAACCTTTAACCTTTAATGTAATAAACTCTCCATGGTAAGAAAGAGAGAAGGGCCTTTGCAGCTATAGTAGACGTGACCCACGTGTTTGAGTTGCCGATATTTATAAAATTAATAAATACAATTCTGGCCACAGTAAAACGAGAACTGCAAAACAATCGTACTAACCCGACTTGTAAACGGTACTAACCAAAATTAACCAAATTCTAGTACACTTAAGCCCTGCCTCTGTCAACACACAAAATGCTAGAATGGTTTTTTTTATTGAAGCACGTTCATAGACTTTTTGTTTGCTGTGTGAAAACAAAAGAAAATAACATTTTAAAAAAGAATTTCAGTAATGCCAACTATATTGACAAAAATTATCTCCCGCGCAATCATTCATTCACAATCCCTTTTTTTCAATCGCACTTCCGGCCTTAATTGTTTTTGACATCATCGGTTGAGCGCGTGCAAATTTCAAAGGTTTTTGAGGGTAATTTTGAAGCTAAATATCCTATCAGAATCTCATAAGAATCGTACATTTTGAATGTTCTGCCAGATCTATCCACACAACGATAGGGAGTCTTCACAATGATAGACTTATTTATGCCCTTTCGGGCTTTCTTGAAATTCGAAAATGTGTGTACGGACAACAATGTTTTCCGTATGCATTATAAAGTGACGGTGATAATGTTGCTGGTTTTTACGCTCATGGTGACGTCGAAACAGTTCTTTGGGGAGCCAATTCACTGCATGAACGATGGGGAGAAGGATCTTGACAAGGATGCCATCAATAGTTATTGTTGGATCTATGGAACTTACACGCTGAAAAGTCGCCTTTTTGGTGAGTAGAATTGCTATGAATGCGGTACCCAGTGAAAGTGTCCGACCGTTAAAAGCGTCTACAGTGAAGTCAGGTCACGGCTTGGTACTTGAGTGACGAGACGTGCGCAAAAAGAGACCTATGCTCAGCAGCAGATTATGAGTTAAAAATGAAACGCACGGACAAACTTCTGATTATAGGTAGTTGTAAAAGTTGCTTAGATTAATTATACTGGAGTTCTTTGTCAACATTCACTGTAAAGGAGTACAGGTTATAAGTTTCATGTTGTCCTTTACCATATGCTACAATATCTCTCTTTACAATCTTTGTAAGACTGAATTAAATCATTTATGATCCCATATTGGACTGTTTTACATGAATGAAAGTGATTTATTGTTACTTCATGATATTACGCTTGACTTCAATGTATAGAAGATAAGAAATGAAACTATTTTTCCGGATTTAAATCGCGTATATTTGTTTTTTCAAATAAACCGACGTTTCGGGCCCTTTACAGGTCCCATGGTGAAGGGCCTGAAACGTTGGTTTGTTTGGAAAAACAAATATACCCGATTTAAATCCGGAAAAATAGTTTCATTTCCTATGTGTAACAATCGCGAAAACCTAAGAACTCTATATATAGAAGATAAGTTCAAGAAATTGGGGAGGTCTGTGTCCAGGTATGGGACATAATATTGCATCCATTAAATAAATGTTAATTCTCTCCTAGGTGATGAGGGCAAGCACAATGCTTATGCTGGAGTGGGACCGTTTATAAAAGATGATGATGAACAGATCAAGCATACTTACTACCAGTGGGTATGCTTTGTGCTGCTCGGCCAGGCTGTCATGTTCTACACTCCTCGCTATTTATGGAAGATTTGGGAAGGAGGAAGGCTGAAGGCTCTGGCTTCTGATCTTGGTATTGTTCAGTTAAGCCCTATTATTCACTTTAGAAAAAATGTTTACTTTTAATTTCATGTTTTCCATGTAACTATCTAATAAATGTCATTCTGCATAAAACAGAACACAGCAGTAAACATTGTAGCTTTATATAAAATTAGAGGAAGCATTAGCAAAAATGTGATTGGTGTTTATGACTAAACTAATTGATTATATACTACATATAAACAACAGCTGGTGTTTATAATAATAACACACACACTCAACATAGCCCCGCACTAGGGAAACCCTGTGTCGCGGGTGCCATGGACACACATATAGACAACCACAAATCACACCCAAACTCACGAGAGAAACAAATGTAGGTCATACAAATATTTCTCCCGGCGCGGGAATCGAACCTGGGACCTCTGCGTGGCAGTCCGGCATGGTAACCATTCGGCCACAGAGGCAGTTGAATTGAATTTTTGAATTTGAAGTTGAGTTGAATTTATGACTAAACTAATTGATTATATACTACATATAAACAACAGCAGTGGAGAAGCTTGTGCCTCCCAATTGTTTACTTAAGGCCCAATGCATATTGCGGCGGAACGGAGTGGAAGCGAATTTTAGTAACAATGTTGTACATAGTGTAATGAAATTTATGGTCAATTGTGTAATGTACAAACTAGATACGAGCCAAAAATCACGTCGTGCGTCTATCGCTGCAACTGTCTTCGGCGACGCCTGACGAATTCGCGGAAAGTGACGCGAAGGCAGATGCTGTGTGACGTCAAACGTCGACGAAATGCTATAGCCTCAAGGCGCAGTCGCGCGAATGCTAAAACATTCGCGGGAGTGCTCGAGCATTCCAGCGACCGCGCCTGCCTTCTCCCGCCGCAATGTAAATTGACCGTAAAGATATAGAAAATCATTGTATATCTTTCTCCTCATGTTTTACAGCTAGTCCACTTATAACAAAAGACTGGTCAGAGTATCGACGCGGCGAGTTGGTGTCATACCTGAGCTACACCAATATCTACACGCACAACATCTACGCAATGCGCTACGCCATGTGCGAGATCCTCAACCTTATCAATGTGGTTAGTAGAAGCACACTAATCAGCACTATCCTACTTCACATATATATTCGTAAAGAGTGCAAAGAGTCGTACTCAAAATCTTAAAAAACCATACAAATACCTGACCTTGCACATCTATTTCATGCTAAAATTACAATAAAACAAACAATACTTAAGTTTTCAATAAAATGTCCGAATGCTTCACACATGATATTAAATTCTTTTTTTTATGAAATGACCACCACCATAGTATTCATAATGTTTTTCTAAGGTGCATTTATTCGACACGAATTACATCTCGCCACACCGCGCGGCCGCTGAGCGGAGTCGTCGCCGCGCGGTCGAAGAGCGGAGTCCGCATTGCCGCCGCGCAGCGACCGTGTGGCAAAATACGCTCTATTTGTTTAGCTTTAACGTTTTAACTTAAATGAGCGGCCCGGACACGCAGACGAGACTGGCTGAATTTGGTATACGAGGCGGTCCGCGCGGTTGCATTCAGATAGATAGATACAGACAGATAGATATACATTGGAATTCCGTACCGCCATTAATGTACTACATGAAGGCGTGGTAACTGTATGGTCGCCGCGCATAAACTTTCGCCTCGTGTAACTTAATTAATTACAATTATTGAAGCGACATCTCTAGTCAACTGCTAGTAGCTGTAAAAGTACCTGTCTGAGTGAAGAAAAATATTTCTCACGGATGGCGCTACGGCCAAAAAGTCGTTAAAAAACCAAACAAATATCTGCAACAAGGACATAAAAAAAATCGTAAGGTCAGCTGGTTCGTTCCGTGGCTTAGTTGGCATAGCGTCTGCCACGATATGCTAGAAGATGTTGGTTCGAATCCAGCCGGATCGAAGGATTTTATCTAAGTGTTCGATCTTTGCATTAATAATTTAAAAATATTAATTTCTCCTTTTCGTATCCAAAAATACACACACCCTACATGCACCAAGCCTCCCAGCATACACACTCATAAACATACACAATCTCACATTTATTTTGTTATTTCACTCTTTACGATAATAAACCTTAGGAAATGAAACTATTTTTCCGGATTTATATCTTTAACTCAAGCGTCAACTGTGACCATAGCACCTGTAAAGGGCCCGAAACGTCGGTTTGTTTGAAAAAACAAATATACGCAATTTAAATCCGGAAAATAGTTTCATTTCCTATGTGTAACAATCGCGAAAACCTAAGAACTCGAGATAATAAACCTTGTAAAGAAATAACCAAACCACTGACTTTCATAACACGACAATCACAGTTAGCTTGACAATCACAGGACAGGAGACAGAACTTTGAGGCAATTAATAACAAGCCACGAAAATACAACTTCAGTTCAGAGTATTTTGTTTATTCATTCATTTACAGGTTGGCCAAATATTCCTGTTGGACCTATTCCTAGGCGGCGCATTTCGCAATTATGGTGCAGCTGTAGCTGCCTTCGTTCACACCCCACGTATGCCTGCTGGAGACATGAGCTTCTCATCCGTCAATCCTATGGACAAGTATTTCCCCAAGCTCACCAAATGCTGGTTCCGTAACTATGGTCCCTCTGGTACTATTCAGTTTAAAGATCGACTTTGTGTGTTACCGTTGAATATTGTTAATGAGAAGATATTTGTCATCCTTTGGTTTTGGCTTATATTCCTAGCTTTTGTTTCGAGTATGGCTGTACTATTCCGCATACTAGTATTCTCCCTCCAACCGCTGCGTACAATCATGATCATGGGCCAACTGAGACTCGTAAAACGCAGCTTAGTCTCAAGAATTGTGAAGCAGTTCGGTTTTGGTGATTGGTTCATTCTGTACTTGCTGGGCAAGAACATGAACCCTCTTATTTATAAAGAGCTTGTCTTAGAGCTTTCAAAAGAGTTAGAACCTAAGACTGTTGTTGTTTAACTCATTGTTATTTTTTTTTGTTTTAACAACTCTTATTCCTAATTGTCTGATTTTAAAAAAATGGTCAATAATTTTAATAATACAGGGTATTGTTTTGATTTAAGCGTAACTAAGAGACTGATTAATGTTATTCCACAATTTTTAAGAGAAAATATAACTTCTATTAACTAATCAGTAAGCTTACTGTAAGAGATGATTCTAGAAATTCTAAATTAGAAAAATAAAAACTTAATTTTAATTACCCCAGACTTGATTCTAAAGTGGTATTTATTATCTTCTGGTAATTATATGCAGTCATGATTTTACTGAATTGAAAGTTCCAAGTATAATATATATCAATAAATTAACTCAACCTCGTAACTGTTACAAAAGTAACCCTTTCCCTTACATATAAGGTAGCAGGTGTTTATAAAAATTAATAAGTGTCTATTGAAATATGTAAAAAAATCAACAATACCTCTGGTATGTCTCATTTGTATAAGTTAGTTTTTTTATGCACATTTTGCATTTTATCAGTGCATAAAGTTGTAACTATTGTGTGATCTCTGAATAAACTTAAAAGTATAATCGCATTTTACTTTTAACCATTACCCTACATACAAGTATATCGTTTTGCAGTCCTGATGTGTCATAACTTGGATGGGCTTTTACATTATTGAAATATTATCCAGAGTAAATGCCTGCAATTCCGAAGCCTATTTGGACCTGTGGTATTAAGCTTTAGGGAACTGCTATGCAGTTGAACACCGAGATTCTGCAATGATATCGAAACAGTATTTTTAAATCAATGTATTTTTAAATAAACAAATGTCCCATGGTTCACTGAAATATATGAGATCCACAAATGCCTACTGTTGTTGAGGAGTAAGCTAACTAAGTCTTATTAAGAACCACTCATGCTAACAAGCATTATGTGTACCACAGATGAGTATATTGAACATAAACATGTTTGGGATTCAACTAGCTACATGAAACAATTTTCCACAACAATGCAACCCAACACTGGAGAGGTATGCCAAACAATAAAGTGCTTATGGTCTCAAATAAGACCAAAATATATACAAAAAGTGTCTGTTTAATATTTTTTTTTAAATACCAAGTGATAGAATGTACAAGTCTTGTGCCTGGTGGTAAATGACACGCCTACCCATAACAGTGGCAGTGCCACTCAGAACTTCAAATCTCAAATATAATATAAATATCTTAGGGCCACTACCACTGCACCTGGCACACTGGGACATGAGTTAACAAGTCCCATGTGTACAATTTAGTAGCAGTAGCCAAATTGTAGCTTTCCAGAAACACAGCTAGTAAAACTGTTCAGATAGTGATGCAGTATCTGGTTGAGAAATCAACATCTTTTTAAATTTGGAATCTTTCTAAATGAAAGATTGAGTTGCATTTCTATACATTTATTATACATGGTGTTTGTTGTTTTCCATGTATACCATGAAAACCAAAATTTTTTCAAATTACTGTAGTAATGTCAGACTTGATTATAATAACAACAAAGACTGAAAAATGATTGAATGAATGAATGAAATATTTATAACTTAAGGAAGTTATATTTTGTCAGCTTAATTAATGTAAACTTTTGAACAAAACTTTTAGGTACAAAAAAACAGAATTACTAGAAATTATATGACAAGTCTATAATTATACATTTATTTTATAACTAAAAATCCATACCTGAGAAGCATTACACTGTAAGAGTTATTTTTGCAATTTTACAGGGGATGCAATTTTGTGTCGAAATGCAGCATGTACAATATCTAGAATGGCTTGGAATAAAACGAATTTAATTTTATAACATTTCGAGCTACCCTAATTGCCGTACAAACTGCTTTTCAACACAAAATCGCTTCCTTCATAAAATTACAAAAATGGCGCTTACAGTGTAATGCTTCTTAGGTACGGAAATTATCTAGAAATTCTAGTTTAAGGTTTAATTACTCAATATTACACTTGCAGAGTAAAAGGTGGATTTCATTCTAAAACAGTGATGAGGTGTTCAAATTTAGCCGTGATTTGTAAAATATATGTATTGTCACTACCCCAGGAAAGTAACAATATTGTCAGTGTTGTGACTTCATCACAGTTAAGTTACAAGCTAAAATGTTCAGTACTATTATACTACCCAGAGCAGCCTCTACATCCACAATGGATACATTCAACAATCCTGCCCTCCTCCAATTTGCTTTTAGGGACCCTGCAGATACAGTTTGTGGCAAAATTCGTATCCCTAGTCTGTATACACCGCAAGCAACATAGATTTTCATATCCAGTCTTCTTCCACTTAGCTATAAGGTTTGCATCTGCTATTTTCTCGTCCAGACAGTACTGATAAAGCTCTCTACTGATTGCCTTACGTCTGTAGAACAAATCGTAGATGTAACGAGACTTCTGATGATGAATTTTGAAAATTGGCCACAGAGATTCTTGCTTGCGTTTACCTTCGTGAGGTTCAGTTTCGGCTGTAAAAACACAAGTAGCATGTTACATTACTCATTCGCTTAATAAACTATTATTCAGACTGTCGATAGACAAGAAATATTAAGTTTTATAAACTAACCTTCACGCATTTTCTGTTCCAATTCTTCGAGAGTCGGTTCTATCAATTCCCATCCTTCTGGCGGTGATTTCCGACTACGCCGCACTTTTGGCATTTCGGACGAGTTATGCTTTCTTAATAATCCACGTAAGTAAAGTAATAACAATAAGACACCAAATGAACAATTTCGAGTTCGAGCTTTGTATGTACATACAATTTATGAGTGCGCTTGGAGTGCACAAACAACAGCAAGCAAAGGAAATAAAACCACAAATTAGAAAGATATAAAACAAAGTGACAGTGACATTTATGCGCTTTATTGTTTCCCTATGTATGTCTCTCGTTGTGCAAGTAGAACGGGTGGATTGATTTTATTTTACCAATTTAGCATCCTTAAAGCATTACGTCATCACTGTGAGAAATTCATCATATTTATTATGTAAAAAATTTCCAAAAATTCTTCAGCTCAACATTAATTGATCCATTTTCTTATTTTCAGGGCCTGGTTACAAGACCATTAGGCCAAGGAATTGATCCAAATAAATTGTCTTTGTTCAGATACGCATACATTTTCTTATTAAGTAATTTCGGATACACAAACTAGGTACGAAGTCGCGCCACAGACATTCTGTGAGTCGCGCTGTTCTTGTTATCAAATACAGACAAGCACCTCACTTAACTTCATCTTCTGAGTATCTATCATATGTCCTGGAGAAACGCGGCAATGTATTATTTATGATTAAAACTTTACTATTATCGTCGGTCAACGCCTATTTAGCTATTACGGCAAATCCTCCTGTCGGGAACCTATTTTAGTGTGAACTAACATGAATATCTAGGTACGCGAATTTAATAAAACCATGATATTTAGGACATTGGTTAGGTTCCGTTTATTTGTTCTTTCGTAGATATTCAGTTAGCATCAAAATCATTTAATATGGTAAAGTATACGCAGCCTAAAGCAGATAGATGGCAACGTTCTTAGGAAGAATTGTAACTGCGAAACTTAAATGCTTACTTTTAAAGCAAGTCGGTCAGTGAGTAAGAAAAAAATGTGAAGACAATTCACATGTTTATTCCTCCGTAACTTTCACTTTTGTCAACGAGTGTACCCACATTATTAGCTTGCAAAAAATGTATGGGGTTCCGCTCCACTAACTTGCAAAATGAGTTTTATGATTATGAATTACAATTATAGAACAACAACGAAAAGTGTGAACAAACGCTTGCCGGACATTTGGTGAATAATCATAAATCAATAAAGAAATAACTTTTCAATGACCATTGCTAACTTACCTGTGGATATAACGGGTCTACCTACCTATAAATGTATGACTATAGTTTTCTCTTTTGTGCAAACGTGTTCCATATTGGAGTGAGCGAGAACGACATAGTTTACGTGCCTCGATTAGCACTCGTGGAATGCGGTGCGTTCGCGCAACCTCCGCGCCACAACCAGTCTTTTCTTTCCTTCACGGCTGTAACTTGTGTACATGGATCGCTAAAAACTACGTTTGTTACCGAAATATGTGTGAATATTGCCGTTATCCCCATATTTATTTGTTGTTAAGTGAATAAAAGTGAACCTAGTGTATCAGATTTTTGTTATGAAGTTAAGTGAAAGCTGAGGGAGGCTTGCAAGGAACTTGGCTGCATATTTACCCGTAAGTTGGCTCTTTAAACGTGTCTGGGTGACGTCGATGTTTGTTTCGTGCCGGTTCTTCGACTCTGTTTGACCATTTGTATGATGGTTTTTATTATGCAGGAATTTCAACGATGATGTTTCGCTGTGTACATTGCTTGTTCTGGCATTTTAGTATTCTACTGAGGGTGTTTATTTATAGGCTGTTTTCGAAATCATATTACTACAAATTTAAAAAAATCGTACACACAGGTGGCATTTTGCATGCATACCATAGTGCCAATAACTACCGACCTCCCCGATGTTTAATTTAATTTTATTTTTTCTCTCTTTTATTTTATTCTTTATAGGTATGTATTTGTGATAGTATCTGTGAACCTTGAGGTTCATATGTTCATATGTGATCATTCCATAGCTACAACTATGGAAGATAACCAGTTTAACAATTAAATAAGCATAATTTAGTGCTACAAATGTCTGTAATAATTAATTGTTAACTAGCTTTAGTCTGCCACTAAGTTTGCGTGTAATAAAAATCTAGATACGCATAGTTAATCCACTACACAGACAATCTACGTATCTACAAAATTTTTACAAATCCAATCAGTCGTTGGTATCATTATACGGTAAACTTTCAATATCTCGCTTTTGATGAGTTAGTTAACGATTTTCCTGTCGGCAAATTCTTGGACTTTTTATTGTAGGAATAAGTTTCGAAGCTGAGAATATGCTAAAATAAATTGTAGTGAAAATACGACTATTTATCACACAAACGTTGAGAATCAAATCACAACAGACACGCGCTGCGTTTATGCGAATTCAAGTCACGATTTTTATTCATTTGCATTTGCATATAAGTCATGTGATTGTAAAAACTTCTTTTTATTGATTTCGTTTTAAATATATTCAAAGATTCACTTTACTGCAGAGTAAGTTACAATGAGCACCATGTATATGAGACTAGAAAGTTGTGCCAGAGTAAGGTGGCGTTCTGTGGTCTCTGCCTACCCCTCCTGCGGGACAAGTGAGTTATGGCGCAATTTACGAATTTTCTGCAATAACGTAGCGTAGTTGGCTACAATAATATTTACCGTACTATAAATAAGATTTCTTTTTCTATAATACACCAAGTGACAATACAGGTGACATTGTTATTTGACCTTTTTCTATAAAGTCAATGATAAATAATAATAATAATTATACATGTATTTTGGTTTGTCCAATAAAGTATGGGCGACCACCACGACGGCGACGACGACAACGACAACGAACGTTCTCTAAACTCTGAAATGTAGTTGAAGTCAAAAAATGTAAACAAACAACTGTCACTGTCACAGAGTGACATCTCATAGACCATAAACCTTTTTTTCCACGTTCGCTTATTAACAGGTTCCACTGTATTCTGACTAAGAAATTATAATTGAATAATACCCTTTTGGGTTGAACAATTTACAAAATTGTTTAGAAACATTTTGTGTCATAAATATAGTGGTATTTTTTTCTACGGTAAAAAAGTATCTTTTTTTGTTGAAGGACCTGGTTCAACCTCCATTGTAGTTATGTTCACACGAACTCAAGCAAACACAAACGTAACAACAGAGTAAAACCAAAATTAACAAAAAAATAACACAAAACGAAAACTCAACAATAAAAAAACAAAAATTCGACAACACGACGCATACACAGCAAGGGACACATTCGATAACGACAGCCATCAGAAACCGAATGAAGAAAATCGCGGTGATCCACTGCACTGTGGGGATGCAACCCGACGACTTGGTCCGTTATCCATCCTTATGACCAAAAACTGACTTTTCATTTTTCAGTTCATTATAATTTACCACTATTTAACAATTATCCAATTTATTATTTTAATTTTATTATTCTCATCAAAAAAACATTTGATTTAATAAATTATTAAAGTGATAGTATTGTAGCAATTAATTATTCACAATTCTACTTATAAGTATTTGTGTTTATTCAAAACAAATGAAAATAAAAAATCGAATAAACACTAAGGACAGGCCAAGGTTGTTCATTTTTTTTTTTTAATTTATTAAGTCTTTGGCAAAGCCATCAGCCTAAACATGAAGTTTAATTATGTTTCTGTAAATATGGCCGCCACAAAGAGGATAGGCAATTTGAGGCGGCGCGGCGTGCTTAGATTGACTCGGGATTCCTTAAAACGGGCCGATACGGGTATTTTAGTTCGAGATTCGTATAATTTCGCGTTTTAATCTTCGATTAAGGCACAATAGCACTATCCTATTCCACTTTAAACTAGATTTCACAAAATAATTGAAAGTCAAAATAAAAACGACACTTTTCCCTCCAAAAGGTCCAGAGTGAATCGCAAGGTTGTTCATCCCTGAAACATTGCCAATGGGATAAAAAATCTTTCCACGAGAAACAGTTTTTAGAGATTATCTTATTAAATATGGTGTTTTAAATAAAAAATATGATTTGATAATATTTTGTTTGTATATGCACACCATTTTAAGAACAATATAACATATCTAGCATTAATTTTTATCCCTTTTCACTGTTCCACTATTCGTGGAATATTTTTTGTAATGGCATCACTTTTGTTTACATTTTTTGATTTTGATTTCATCTTAGAGTTTAAATTGAAATTTTATAACAAAAAGTTACATACAAATCTTCCTTTCTACGCAAGTTTCCCACAGATAAGTAGGTAGTATTTCTTTAGAATTTAATGACGTAGGTATGTGTTTAGTAGATTTTTTGAAGACGTCCTTGTAAACGGTACGATCATCGAACATCGAAATAACCTCTGACATCAGCTGATTGCAAAGTTTACGCGTCGCAGCCTACAGGCGCAAATAAAAGGTTGAATTTAATGAATGGCTTCAAGATGCACCATTTACCTACGTGAGAACTTGTTATATGATTATTACACGTTTACTATACTTAATAAGACAGACTTATGTTAAATCGCTGAGTTTTAAATAGAATTTTACATGAAACAAAAAGTGTATCAATGCCTCTTATGATGTTGTCTAAGTAAAAAGAGAACAAATCGAGAGCAATTCAAATAATGGGTGATGCTAAATAGTTCAGTGCAATTATAGCGAAAGTTGCTTGCAGAAAAATTTAAAAAAGTGCATTTATAAACGTGCAATAGTTATTGGAAAAGTTTGGCCTGTCAGTTAAGTGTCGGACCCCGTTACGCGTGGCGCACTTCATCTGGGCTTTGTTATATAATACAATATTATAATACAATACATATGTTATATAAATACAATACAATGTATAATCAATAGCTAGATAAGTATTTCGAATGTAAACATACTCACCTAATCATGTAAACACTCACTAAGGAAATGCTAAGGTCCATTTCACAATAGTTAACTAATGATGTATTACTTAACTAATTATGTTTAACTATCTCATCGTTTTTCTACTATATAATCTTAAACCATAAGAACTGTAATTAATTACTATTTCCTAACTCATAGACATCACATCTCTGTAAAATACTTATAATTTAATAAATATATTTTTTTTTTAAAAGTTCTCTCGCTGCTCATTTGGTAACAGCTTGTAATAAAAATGTTTGTTTTAAATTCACACAACTAAGAAGCTGTTTCACTCATCAGGGTAATAAGTGTCCTACTTAACAATCGTAAGAAGGGCTGTGTCTACCCTTGGCGACGGTACTAACTTACATCTTTTCTTATTGTTAAGTTGCACAACATATAATTTTAACGTAGGTTCACTCGTAAATACATCAATGCCGTACTCGCGCGGCATTGAATGTGGTAAGCAGGTAATTAAGCAATAATACCTGGCATTGATTTGTCTTTCAGGCTTAGCTATCGCGGGTGTTCAGCGAAGGTAACATAATTTTATTGGTGAAGAATTTTAATTTAAAGGTGCATTATCAAATGGCTTTAGAATGCAGAATCGTAATTAATGCCGTGGTAGATTCAAGCTTATAATTTCATGTTTTCTAATTAGAGTAATGGCCGCAAATTAATTTTGGTGGTAAATAATAAATTGTACTTAAAATACCAATTGAATTTAATAATATATTACAGATTACGAAATCAATATTTAATTATTTTTTAAATAAAAGTGAATCAAGTTTTATCAAACGTTAACTACAATAGCTAATTAAAGAGCGATATTAATCTTTTAAGTCCGTAATATAAAGTCACTCATTCGTGATCTTCGCAGTTATTTGATAGAAAGTGATTAAGTAAGATGTTACTTAAAACTTGACGTATAAAGATTTCTCCAAAGCTTCTCGGTCTTAAGTAATTGATAGTTATACGACTATTACATTTGGCACGCAAACTGTTGGATTACATCTCGCATCGTTTTGCGTAGAGTACCTACGCACAGGTCAATCAACATATCGTCGCCTTAAAGAGAAAACCTTGCATACGTGATTTCACATAGTTAATTTTTACTGTTTTTTATTATTGAAGAAAACTATGTAGTATAATATATGAAAGAACTATAATTTAACTATAGGAAATGAAACTATTTTTCCGGGCTTAAATCGCGTATATTTGTTTTTTTTCAAACAAACCGACGTTTTGGGCCCTTTACAGGTCCCATGGTCACGGCTGATTTGTTTGAAAAAACAAATATACGCGATTTAAATCCGGAAAAATAGTTTCATTTCCTATGTGTAACAATCGCGAAAACCTAAGAACTCGATATATAATTTAACTAATTAAAATGCTAACTACGAATATTATTGCGTTTACTACATTTTACACCACATTTTTAACTTCGTCCTGAAAAATTACATAGAAATCACATACGAGGTATTCATTCTAAGACGACGATACCGGAAATAATATGGCATTACATTATAAAAAGAACTAATAACATTCAAAAACTTCAAATGTATAGTCGGTTACGGAAGTAAGGTTCGTTTTTAGAATATAAACGTTATAGATATTGTAAGACGCTGCGCTTCTGCTCTTAAGTATATCGAGTTTTTAGATTTTCCGATTGTAACATATCATCGGGAACAGTGGAAGTCCG